GGCCTAAGTGGTGTAGGCTAATATCTTCTGTACTTTGTAGACCTAAGCTACCACACAGCTGTATATAGGCCTAAATACAAAACTACAGATTACAGAAGATATTAGCCTACACCACTTAGGCCTATTAAAATATTTTTTTTTTTTAAAAACTGACCCGAAACAATAGGTAGTCCTTCAGAATGTAGGCTAGATATAGGCAGCAGTAATTTATAATCTAATATAATGCACGCAAATTTGTTCTTTACAGAACGGAACGGGATCTGAGCGGGAATTGGGTGAGGGTGAGCGTGAGCGGAATATTAACGGAGCGCTTGCTTGGGCGGTTAGAGCGACTGAGTGGAGCGCACGTCCATAGAGCGGAAAACGTAGCGGAGCGTCACACCGCTCCGCTTCGCTCACATGCTCTGGTGTTGAGCAAGCGAGCCGTTGGCATTTAGAGAGCACTAAGGGCGGGCATCAGGTGAGCAAGCCAGTGAAACGTTGCACGCGGAAAAGAGAAGGTCTGCACAAATCCAAAAACGTATTTTAAATGCAAAATTGATTTTCGTGCGCTCTCAGAATATGATCGTTCGCACGCAGAATTGTGGCAGAGATGTAATCCCATAGGCTAGTCCTTCCGACATTTGCCGCTGGCTCTGATGTCTCTGTAGTGATTAAACATGAGATACATTTCGTTTTGGGTATATTTAACAGGCATTTGTGGTCTCATGAATCTATTATTTGTTCCTGGTCATATAATTTTGGCTGAGCACAAAGTTATGTTTAACTTTATATATTTATTTTGAACTTGACTGTAGTACAGCGCTGACTTTGTAGCATACATTTGACTGAATTGTTTGTTTTTGTCTTTATTTCCTCTTATATAAGCCTCTTATACTTTGTACTTATACTTTTATAATGCCTATTATTGTTCATTAAAACTGACATTTAACAAAAAGAGGCAGAGTTGTGCTTATTGTCTCGCTTTATCGTCGATCGCTACTTTCCGGCATACACCATGCCTATCAAATATGGGTACTGTTGGCGGTGGAAACGCAAGCTGGATCAGGGTGTTCGGTCCCAAATCGTACCGTAATGTACTGTACTGACCCGTACCGCTCGGTGGAAATGAGCCATAAGTTATAGGAACTAGCCGGTCGGGTAATAGTCGGTGTTTTCCCACATGCGTTCCGCCAATCAACGTACACTTACAGCGTGGGTTTAGACCCGGGTTTAGTTCCCGTAAAAGGAATTCCTAGAACTAAAATTGTTCCTAGTTCCTGCAGTGCGAACACGCGAGCATCTGGGTACTTCCGCCAATAGTTCTACGAACTATGAAAAGGTTGCTCCGGTGCGAAAGGGGCTATACTGCGGGAAATTCCAGCGAAGGAATGAAAGACGCCCGGGAGTTGCAATTTATGTGTTTTTAAGTCTTGCTAATTAAAACATTCAAGAGATTTTAAACCACTCAAGCAAAATAACTCAATTAAGTAGTGGCACGTCCTCTGAGAGATGGTTTTCTGAGAGCATACAAATACAGCCGCCTCGCAAACAGCGCACTAATACTGAATTAAATTTTTTTTTGCAGCTTATTGCGCGTAAAAAAGATCGGATGTAAACAGTCCACCCCAGCTTCACAATGAACATCACATCCCTTCAACTGATACTTCCAGCTTCATTTTTATTGAAGAAATTTGACCATAAGAACATTAGATGTGTGTGCTAATATATTATATGTGCTTGAGAAAGTGTAAGTTTAAATACAAAGTGTTTTACTGATACTCACTGACGTCAAAAAGCAAATGAGGGGAATATCAGCCCATCTCATTTCCTACTTTGAGGCCTGATTATAAGCACTGCATTAAGAGTCAACAGGAAGAGTGGATAAACACACAAATATAAAGGAAGTAACATGTAAAAAGGGTATTTCTTTTTAAAGAGGAAATACACAAATGATGTGTAAGGCTCCACACTATGTATCTTTGTAATGTCAGGTATGCATGTTTTACTCTGTAATGTTGAGATAAAGTATGATTATGATTAAACAAACTCCTGGTTTCTTGCATCATTTCACATCAATTCACCACTGATTGGCTGAAGGCACAAAAAAACAGTATGGACAATAAATTCTGTGAAGTTAATGGGATCCAAAACATTTTTCAAAATATCACATTTTTTGTTCTGAAGAAGAAATTAAATCATACAGACTTGGAACCACATGATTCCCTGCTATTGAAATGAATGGTTAAAGGCATTTTTGCACCTTTTTATAGTATGCAGCTTTAGTGCTGTAGTTGCACTATAAAAATGCATAAATCAATGTAATCATGAGTCTTAGTATGAAAGGAGCATTATATTTTTTGAACATGGAAAAGAACACGGAAAACTGATTATAAGAGAAGAAAATGCAAATACTAAGGTGGATTTTCCCAGTGAGACCGCTGTGGAAATATAATACTCGACAGTACAGAACATTTTAATATAAACACAATTTCAACAAATTACAGCAAAAAGAAATGACTGACAGAGAAAAATGTGGACACATGTGAACAAGGAAGAAAAATGAAAAAGGGCTTTTTTTTTAGAGTAATAAACAAATGAAGTGACGTGCTGAATGACGGATTAAAGCAGATATAATAATCATATAGTTTGAAGCTGCAGACAGAAACATCAGACTCAGGACAGAAACACATGACCTCTAAAGTAAGAAAAACTCACATCTTCATCCTTCAACTAGAATTAGACTTTGAGATGTTAATATTATCTGAATGTATGTGAATTGTTCTGCTTTTTAAAAAAATGAATCATGTTTTACTTTCATATTCTTCCTCAGAAATGGAACAAGCTCTATATTTCATTCTTCTTCTCATTGGTGAGTGTTTGTGGTTTTATTTATGGTTTCTAGTTTCATTAGGTCTGTTATGAAAAGCATGAAAGCAAAGCCTCTCTTTCACAGCTCTCTGCTCTGTATCTGAATGTGTTCAGCGTCAGTATCACTTTATAAATGAGGAGAAGACCTGGACTGAAGCTCAGAGATACTGCAGAGAGAATTACACAGATCTGGCCACCGTTGACAACATGAACGACATGAACGAGCTGAAGAAGAGTGTGAATGGTGGAGGTGTTCAGTATATCTGGATTGGGCTGCAGAAGACGGGTCGTGATGAATGGCAGTGGTCTTCAGGGGAACCTGCGCTCTATCTGAACTGGGCTACTGGACAACCAGAAGGCAGAGATTATTGTGCTATGATGTTAAATGGAGAATGGCATGATTTGCCATGTAATACATCCCAACATTTCATTTGCAACAACAGTGAGTTCATTTATAGATGCACCGTATACCAAGTTTTAATGCAATACTAAATACTATTTAATTTAATTGTGAATATAGAAGAGACTGGATATGTGTCACACTTTCAGTGTTGAAACAGTTTCTGTATCCACAATATTTCCCATAAGCAAAGACTGAACACTGAACACACTTTGATCTTTTGTTGTGACACTATGTGGTATTTTGTCACAATGGGATCTTGAAATTAAAGACCTTAATAAAATCTCTCTCTCTCTCTCTCTCTCTATATATATATATATATATATGTATGGGTCTTATATTATTCATAATAAACATACAGCAGTGACTAGAGGTGAGCTTGATATTTACAGCCTTCAGTATCTCAACACAAACCTACAAAGGCTTTGTTTTTTTATTTAACTTGGTCCATGTTGGAATTATAGTCCATTTCAACTTAAACCCTCGTTGCTGAGAAATGTAATGTAGCGATTCAATAGTGAAGCTATTTTATGATAAAAATCGCCAGTGTAGGTTTAACATCAAGTTTCTGTGCTTCTAAATGTTTCTCTGTGTAACTGAATGTTTGTACTGTATGTGTGTGTTTCATTTAATTTTTGAACGCACACATTCCAGACGGATCAGAATCGGGTTTTAAGGCAGACCATTGTATAACGTTAAATATCTTGAATATATTGTGAATATTCAGCAGTTCAAGTCATTGAATGACGTGTTTATGATGCTCCTGTTCACATCCAAATATAAAGCAGCCTAAGAATAATGAACACACTGATTCATGAATCTTTGTCCATTTGTTTTTCTTTAAGCAAACACAGGACTCGTCTTTGTTAATCAGCTGAAAAACTGGAGAGACGCTCAGAGATACTGCAGACAGAATCACATTGATCTGGTCAGTGTGAGAAACCAGGATGAGAATGAGAAGGTTAAGAAGATCATTAGTGATAATAATAAATCTGGATCATTTGTCTGGATCGGTCTATTCAGAGCCAGAGACTCATGGCAGTGGTCAGATCAGAGTAACTCCTCATTCAGATACTGGAATTCTACTCAACCTAACATTAATGAAAATAATGAAAACTGTACAGCAGTAAAACATGACCCTCTTGGACAATGGCATGACATCTCTTGCAACAATCAATATCCTTTTGTGTGTCATGATGGTGAGTAGATCCTCACAAAACACACACAATCCATCCATCACCTCCAGATCTCTTAAAGTTCCCGCTACACGTCTGACATGACAAATTCATGCAGTGTTTGTTCTGCATGTTGTTTTTGATCAGTCTCTCTCTAGTTTCTGCTTGTGCTTTGTTTGGTTTCCAGATAAACTGATTGTGATCAGAGAGAATCTGACGTGGTCTGAAGCTCTGAGATACTGCAGACAGAATCATGTGGATCTGGTCTCGGTTCATTCAGAAGAGATTCAGCGTCGTGTGATGAACGTGGTTAAACGGGCGTCTACTGCGGCGGTGTGGTTGGGTTTACACAACTACTGCATCATGAACATGTGGCTCTGGGTGAGTGGAGAGACTGTGTGCTATCAGAACTGGGCTCCAGGGAACGGAACGAAACCGGAAAACTGTAAACTCGAGAAGAGAAAAGGAGCAGTTCAGTCTGGAGGAGATCAGCGCTGGATCAGCCTTCCTGAAACTCACAAACTCAACTTCATCTGCATAAATATAAGGTGAAGGACACGTGAATGTTTGCGTTTACTTATATTCACTGTTCTCATACTTTTTTGTTTTTCTGGTTTACTTTCATGTTTGATTTATTTAGTCATTTCTGAGGGAATCTGCTGATTGTGCATTAAAACTGAATTATCTTTGTGCATTAAAACAGAAGTGTCTTTAACTCTTTATTTTAATGACATAATGAGCTCATAAAGGGATTGTTCACCCAAAAATGAAAAGTACCCCATGATTTACTCACTCTCAAGCCATCCTAGGTGTAGTGGTGGAAAGAGTACTAAGAAATTGCACTTAAGTAAAAGTATTGCTACTTAAGGAATAATTTACTTGAGTACGAGTAAAAAAGTAGTTTGCAGAAAAACTACTCAAGTCACTGCGTTACAAAGTACTTTAGTATTATTTTTCTATTTTTACCCAAAATGAGATGATGTGAGCATTATGGAGCAGGGTTAACCCTAACCCTAACACCCATGTACTGTCCACATGTCTGTTTCACAAGTGAGACCCAGGAAATCCCTTATATGGACAAATGCATCTAATCATCAAATCATCTGCAAATTGCAATGCAATGTTAATTGACATAGCTTGTATCACAGTATAGAATTTTATTAAAAAAAAATATTTTCTGTCTCACTGTGATAAGAAGCAACATGGAACCACAGAAGCTAACTGTTTCAAACACGACTGATGTTATGTAGTGATTTTGGAGCAAAACATGATATTAGTCTCATAAATTGTCATGTTTGATACTATGTTAAGCAAACATACAACATTTCCCTGTTGCCAGGAGCAACTGTTTTATAACAAATTTTGAAAAGTGCATTCACGTATAAGATTATGTGGTTGTTTTTAAGAAGGGCAAAAGCAAAGAAAGGTAAGCGAAGGTTTAAAAGAAAAGAAAGGGTTTAAAACAGTGTGAATAGAAAGGTGCCAGTAAAAAATAATGTGGGGTGTGGGTAAGGTTGGGCATCGTTTGAATTTTAATGATTCCAATTCTTGTCAATTCCTAATTTCGATTCCAATAAGGTAATAAATAAACGAATAAATAAATAAAAAAATAAAAAACTTACCTTCTTGACTTGAATGGTTTAAAATCACATTGAAAGTGTAGTTTGTAATAAAAACAAAGGTGGACTCCAGGTACATTTTCGGTAGGACAAAACAAAAAGAGCATTTTATTTAACATTTTCACCCATACCTTGGCTTGGGAATCCAAAATCTATTCCAATTCTGGAATAGGATGCTTAAGGTCAGGAATTGTCTACTTGTAATAAAATAAAAATTTTGATTCCTCTTATCGATTCCTTTGTGAGCATTTTAATATGACTTTAAACCATTCAAGCACAAGAAGGCGTGTGCTCTGTTTTCTGTCCTGCACACATAGGGGCATAGCCATCATTTCAGAAGTGAGGGGGACAGAAATGTAAAAAAAAAATACACTTTTTACTTTTGTCTAATTGACAGGCTTTATTTTTTCTTGTCTTTTAATTGGCTAAGAAATCAAATACACTGCTGTACGATAACCAGTCATTTGTATTCTATAATATTTTTTTCTGTATACCAATTTTAGGATTGGTTTATACAAACACATAATAAGGCAGAATAGTTTATATACTGTAATAAATGTTATGTTAATTAGCACTGCATTATTCATACACTATTTATTACCTGGAAATGACCTGAAATGACCATTCGTCACTTCTCACCTGAGCTTGCACACTACATTCTAAGTCCTACATCATCCGCCGGAACGGCGTTCTATTTTGAACACGCATACGACAGTTAGCGTAAGCTAGAGATTACTGTTTATACATTTTTAAATATGAAAATTAACAAAAATGCATCGATTCGCCTCAGGAGGCCTTTATTTACCCCCCGGAGCCGTGTGGGACACTTTTTATGATGGATGGATGCACTGTTGGACTATTGAAAAACAACACCCACTCACTGCCATTATAAAGCTTGGAAGGGCCAGGACGTTTTTAAATATAACTACGATTGGATTCGTCTGAAAGAAGAAAGTCATATATACCTAGGATGGCTTGAGGGTGAGTAAATCAGGGGGAATTTTCATTTTTGGGTGAACTATCCTTTTAACACTAATGTGTGAAATATTCTTTAGATTGTCTAATTTACTAACATGGTATATGCTTGTTTTAGAAAAATCTTTGTAGATCTGGTTATCTCAAAACCATGATATAAACACATGATAACAGGAGATCAGGTCAAATAAACTCATCTACAGCCAGCATTCTCGTCTCCTGACTATTTTCTTATTTTCCTCTGACGTGACAATGAACTGAAAATTATATGTAACAAATATGTAAAATGTAAATGTGTTGGTTTGTCTGATATTTAAGACATGTTGTTACTCAGAACATGGCTCAGTTACTCTGCAACATGGCCTTTACTATGTCAAGACCTGTGTTTACCATATGGCCTACAACATGCCCACAATCAAACCCACTTTGCCCAATCTTCTGTCTGAAGATTCAGAATAAAGAGTTCATTCAGATTAATGTGTTCACATTCATATCCCATATAGAACACGTACATCTGCAAGATGTCTGTTAAAGATCGCTTCATCTGGAAAGCATCTGCTGTGTACAAACATCTGGTAGACGTCTTTAAGATGTCAGTTTTACATACATTCTAAATCATAAACATGCTAATACTTTATGGGGAATGTATAAAATCCCGCCGTGTTACAGCGATGGATCCTGGTTCAACTAAGTACGTCAAGTTTCAAACACAGAGTCATAATGATGTTGGCGCTCTTGGTAAAGACAGCTCAGTCTACAGGATGGCCGGCTCCATCACATATAGATCAGATGACGTTTGCTAATTTCAACAAAATTATGTGTAATGATGCAGTGGCCGAACCGGTGCTCAAATGAGTAGAGTATGATGGTGATCACATACCATAAAAAAAATATAAACTATACCCTTTACAATGTGATAAGCTGATAGGGACAGCGTTGGATTGGTGGTATGTCAATACAGGGGTGTATACGACCTGGTCGAAACCACTGAGGCACGTAGCTCAGATCATGACTGAGACTGGGTAGGTGGGTGCACTGCTCACACTGACAATGTGAGGTAAGCGATGATGCATCTAAGTTATAAAACCTCATGAAAGTGTTGGGTAACAACCAGCCCGCCGCCATGCAAATGTCCTAAATAGATATGCCATTTGCCCAGGCCCATGATGACACAAATTCTCAGGTAGAGTGGGTCCGAACCCCTATAGGACATTTCACGCCCTTAGAGCCTTAAGCCAAAGCAATTGCGTCGACGATCCAGTGTGACAGTCTTTGCTTGTACACAGGCAGGCCTTTTGAAACCTGTAAGCCGATTGTCCCAAACAAGGGGAGGGGCAGAGTTGGCGCTTCATAGTGTTCTTCTCATGTCTTGCTGAGGAAAAGTGACACACCTGTGCTGCATTAGATCGAATCTATAAAAAGTATGACATTTTATATTGTTTGGAGGGATTTTCAGGTACTGTTTAGTTTCTTGCCAAGGCTGCCGTGCTGTTGTAGTTTTGCGATTTTCCCGAGCTAACGTTTGGCAGCTACCGTTGATTTCCCCAAAGGCGGTATCCTACATCTGGTAGCAGGTAAGGAAGTCAGCATGTTAGAGGGTTTCTTTGATTGCATCTCATTTAATGTTGTATGTTATTATTTCTATTCCCCCAGCGCTTGTGTTTGTGAGTCTCTGTGTGTGTGAACAGGGGTTATGAATATACAGCATAAATGCCTTTTACTGTATATTAACGACAGCTATGCATTTAGCTTGAGTTATCAGTGGATTCAGATGTGGCCCAGATCTGGCCCGCGTGAAATCCATGCTGGCCAGATGTGGGCCGGATCTGGGCCGACACTGGTTGCTGTCTGGGAATGCAGCTGGCTTATTGTACGTAAATAGACACAAAAGTCTGTCAAAATACCAGTCTTTGCGAGTATACACGTATACGCAATCGGTCTTCAGCGGACACAGTGGAGAAAGAAAACGTGTTTCAATATTGGATCTGTGCACTCTGTCTTATAGTGACAGCAGAAAGGGGAAATCACTTGTTTCTCTTGACTGAACAACTTTTGTAACTTGTAAGGATTCATCTGTATTCATTTATACAGTGAAAGTGTTATTTTACATTTGATTAATTGAATCAGTTTCTGTGCCTGCATACTACTGTTAGAGCAACCTGAAAAAATTACTAGGTTGATTAAGAAGTTGTCTATACAGTATGCAGGGTTGAGGAACACTGTCTGAAGTATGGACGGGTGCAACCTTTATTGTGCCCTTCACGTTACTGTAGACCTGGTCTAATGTTTTTCTCCCTTTTAGGGAAGTCAACATACTGGTTGTGTGTTGGAAGCCATTTGGTAAATTACAGTGGCTGAAGTAATCTGTGATGATAAACACAGCTTTTGAATGTGTGGTTTGTTGTTCACTGGTGGAATCGTGTCGCAGATGTAAACAGCCCATCCCAGCTTCACAAAGAACATCACATCCATGCTTATTCTGAGACAGGTAATTGATGCTTCCAGCTTCATTTTGTATTGAAGAAATGTGATAATAAGAACATTAGCTGTGTGTGCTAATATATTGTATGTGCTTCAGAAAGTGTAAATTTAATACAAAGTGTTTTACTGATACTGACTGACGTCAAAAATAAAATGAGGGGAATATCGGCACATAATATTTCCTACTTTAAGGCCTGATTATAGGACTTATTATAGGACTTATTATAAGCACTACAGTAAGAGTCAACAGTAAGAGACATGGATAAATACACAAATATGGAGGAAGTAATATGTAAAACATTTTTTAAGAGGAAATACAAAAATAATGTGTGAGGCTCACACTATGTATCTCTGTAATGTTATATATTGTTGAGATAAAGTATGATTATCAATAAACTCCTGGTTTCTTGCGTCATTTCACCACTAATTGGTTGATGGCACAAAAATACAGTCTCAAACCTTAATTTACTTCTAGAA